GCGTCACCCTTGAGTTCTCTCCTTTACGCACAGCAAACCTTCAGTGAACTGTCAACTCTACTTTCGAAATGCACCTTGATCCTGACAGCGTCTCCCTCTGTGCCGTTACTCTCGCGTTCCACGTCACCCCGCTCCCCACTGGACTTCTGTGAAGGAACAATCTAACTGCTCCTGTGTTTCTGCTCATGCTCCTCTTCCAGGCCTTTCATCCCCCAGCAGGCAGACTGACTTATGAAAACATAAATCATATCTCGTCTCTCTACACACAAAGCCAGTGGCTGCTCATCACACTCTGAACAAAATACAGTCTTTGTCATGACCCAGACGACCCAGGGGACGTGGGGCCAGCCTACCTCTCTGATGGCAGAACCTGCTGCCGCCTTCCTCTCACTGAGCTCCACCCTCAATGGCCTCCTTTCTGTTCCTAACATGTCAAGTCAGTTCCACTCCTAGTCCTTTGGTGCTTGCTGTCCCCGTTGCCTAGAATGTTCCACCTCTGAAATGGACAGGGCCCGGTCCCTCATTGAGCAGTTCTCTGCTCAAAGCCCGTTCCACAGGCCATCCACCTAGAATAGTATTTCAATCACTCTTTCTTCCTTTACCCTGTTTTAGTTTTCTGTCACTACCTGACAGTATACAAACCTGACATGAAAATAATTGTTTCCCTGTCATCTGTCTGTTTCCCTCATTAGAATATGAGTGCCGTATGCATTTTGCTTTGTTCACCATTGTATTCATGATGCTCACAACGGTGTCTACCTATCATATAGTAATTGCTTATGAACTATTTGTTGAATGAACAAACAAGCAACAAAATGGTCTTTTAAAATTAGCTAAAGCAATTGCAACCACATTAAAAACTGATGTGAAAAAATGAAAAATCACCTGAAAGCAGCTGGAGATCATTTTCACTGAGTGCTTTTGGGGAACAAGGAAGAAGCATTCACGTGAGACTATACACATGAACCCCTCCAAACCAATTCGTCTTCCAGCATTTATAAGATTTGTTCTAGAAGATCAGTCTTTAAGTTTGTCCAAAGGCCTGTTTCTTAGATTGACACAGAGATAGACTAATAAATCTCTGCCTTACAACAAAAGAATTATAAGGCAAGCCTAATTCAACATAACTTTAACAATGTTTCGCCACATTTAGTACCACAAAACTTCATTAAGCAGCTTTCACTCCGATTTTATAAAATTCTAATGTGCATTCGTGATGATCCCTGAATAAAGCGTTTAAACACAGTTGGTATGCGAAAGCTGGAAGACACGACTGCCCACTAGGCCTACTGGCGTCATGTCCACTCGTGTCATGCTTCTACTACGTACCAGCTTCTGGCCGTGAACAAGTTCCACAGCCTCCTTCAGTGCCTTGTGTATTAAGCTGGGCCTTGCCACCCACCTAACAGGACACGCGTGGTTCTAACATCTGACACAGTGTTATTACACGACTCATTTCACTTGAATTAATACATGCTGTGCGCCAAATCACACCCCCTAAAATATGAAAATGTTCATTTCATAAAGCAGCTCTTCTGTGATGCCTTTCCGTGGGGACGTCTATGATCTCACGTATAAGAGAAGGTGCCGTGAAAACACAGAGTGTATTTTTTAAAGTGGAAGGGGAGTCACAAAAATAATCAGAACTACGTACTGAGCATCTACCTAGTCGAGTGCCCTCCCAGGTGAGCCAGCATATAGATCTGACACTACGGACATGAGCCCTTTGCCTGGCTCAGTAGAGGCGTCATAAATGTCTGCCGAACAACAAGTTAATGAACTAACAAGCCGAGGACGGAGTTCTTAATGGATCTGAGTAGAAATTCTAAAGAGCTGGAGGAAGTGCTCCCGAGAGGGACCCATGCAGTCTCCATGGGGAGACTGTGCTGAGACTCCCAGGCTGAATCTATGGGCAGCCGCTGGCACAAAGCCTGGCACACATCAGGCCAAGCCAAGGAGAGCCCTCTTCTCACGCTAACCCGCCCCATCGAGCTCACGTCTTCTTTCACCTACAGTTTACCTAGCAATTTGCAGGTGAATCTGAAATTATCTATTTTTTAGGACACATTACTAAAATATTCAAAATAGTTCTATTACAATTCTAAGTGTTATCAAGCCTCATTAATTCGTATCAGTATAGGCAGCAGTTTGGATTACTGATTATTTTACAGGTTTGTTGTTGCTCTAAATTATGGGCTATAAATAAAAGAACCAAGACGTGTCCTTTGAATCTTTTCGAGAGGAAAATAATTGCTAGCATTTCATTGGCCATTCAGAGGTAGAATTATCTTCACAGATGCATTTATCTTAATTATCATAGCAACCTTCTGAGGTAAGGTTTATTATAATTTCATTTCATTTTAGAGATGAGGTAATAAGGTTCAATGAAGTTCAATAAGTTGCCCAAGGATATACAACCAGGAAGTGACAGAACTGCTTCCAAACCCTGTGGTCTTTAATCTACACCATTTAATAAAGCAATTAATTGAGGAGTGGTCTGATGAAGTAGATAAGGGGCAACCACAAATGCACTATGTGGCTGCAGGCAGCGCCCAAATAAACTTCCTCACCCCAAAATAGGACCTCACCCCAATCAATGTCACATTACTCTGGTGAAACTAAAACCAAAGCATGTAAGAGCACATTAAAAAGTTAAGACCACTCTACGGGGAAAAATATATGTCAAACATTATATAATTCTGATGACTGGGAGTTTGACCTGTTAAATAGCATTGCCGTTCCCCTTGAAGTTTTACTAAAAATTCTCATTTAGTCAGTAAAAACATTTTTCACAAATGATGCAAATTTGTCTAGCCACAAATTTGTGACATTCTACATATACGAGGAGAATAACTCATCATTAAATGCGTTTTCATATAAAACATAGATATTTCCAAGGATTATAGTAATATTTCGTAAAAGCTTCCATTTTGAATATCATTATGCAAATAAGCTAATCTTAACTTACCAACAGAAACTTGCTTCCCAAGTATATATTTAAAAACACCCAAGTCCTGCTTAGGGGAAAATGGCTTTGACTTAGTACAAGGTAGCTACGGCCTCAAAGAGACCACCTCTCAGGAAACTATATAATTAATTGTGCACCTTGATGGATTAGATTATAATTCAGATACCTTGAATAAAAAATGGTCCTCTGTTACCTAAACAGGTCATCGTCTTAAGGCAAGGGTCCAACTTCAGGAAAGATACACATGCAGCAGTGAGAAGAAGCCACTGGCATGAGAAGCCAAAGCAATCACGAAGACTAATAGACGCCACCGTCATATTTCCCTCGTGATCCCAATTCAAGTGTCTTGTATGGGAACATGTCCTGATTATTAAAGTTACACACAATCGAAATGAGGCATAACGGACTAGAATAAGACATGGTGGAAGACGCACTGCTATCAAGGCCAGGCCTCCATAAAAGCAGCAAGAACGCTGGCAAAAATTAACTTCTTCAGGACTCTGGAAATTAACCAAAGGCTTGCAACTAAGGGGTGTTTATTCAACAACAGTGGCTGACTCTCAGTACAGAAGGTGGAATCTGTGGTGTCTGAACTTGCCCTGTTCACATTCCCCTCCCCTTAGCCTTGAAAACCCAGTATCCCACAGTCACAGTGAAAGCTAGCAGCCAGCCCAGTCACCCCAAGGTAAAGCCCATTAGTCAGTGAATCCCATTCAGGCACATTCAGCATTTCCATCAGCTTTTTAGTGCTCAGCTCTTACCTCTGAATGAGCAGCAAAAGATCACCCATCATCAGAAAAAGGTCTCTGAGATCGAAGACAATGACCAAACAACCAGAGAAAGTGAACTCAGAGACGCTGTAGATTACAAAAGGAAACCTCAAAAAGGTCTCATTAAAATCCTTAGAGAGGACATTGCATGAGAAACCAAGAGCCGAAGGTATTTAAAAAAAAAAAAATTCACAAAACAGGAAAATGCTGGTGGAACTTTTTAAACGAAATCAGACATGAAAATTTTATTAGAGAGAAGCTGAAGATAAAGTTGAGTACATCCTGAAAAAAGTAGGATAAAGAGGCAGAGAAACAGATGATGAAAAAAATAAGGATTGGGCCGGCCGAGTGGCGCGTTGGTTAAGAGCTGGCTTGGGACGCCAGAGGGCCCCGGTTCGGATCCCACAAATGAGGGCCAGTGACACTGCCCTCTACAACTTTTCTGTTCCCCTTCCCCCAATTCCCCAGCACTGTTCCCATCCCCCCAATTCCCCAATAAAAATCTTAAAAAAAAAAAAAAGGATTAATCCAGGGATTCTAACATGCTAATAAGAAGAATTCCAGATAAAGAGAACAGAGAAAATGGGGGCCATTAAATAACAAAAAATAAGAATTCCTAGCATTGGGAACATGCATCCCCATATTGAAAGGACATACAACTGAGTACCGTTCCATAATTCTTTAAACAGACACACACGAAGACCCATCGCTGGGGTCTCTGAAGATAAATTGTTATTGCTCAGCTCAGAGAAAGAAAAAAAAAAATCAAACCAGCATAAATAAAAGACTTTTCTGGATTCTAAAATGCCAATAACAGATAAATCCCTGCTTTTATAATATATATTTATGTCAAATAATTTTAAGCTAAATAATATCTTACATGCATTCAAAGAACTTCCTGTTTTAAAGAAACAAAACAAAGATTTTTTTTTTTTAATTAGGAGTATATGCCAGTAACTCCTATAATAACTAAGGGGACTGTCTGAATTTTGTAACAGAAGTTTATTGTATTGGCTTTTTAAAATAAGTAGTTCACGAAGATTAGAAAACATCTATTTTCTTAGACCTCAGTTAATCTTATATTTATTTCCACAGCTTTAGACTATATTCCCTAGGTATTTTTCTTTCAGCGTCTTCCATACAAAAGCTCTGACAATATTAACAATGGCTAGTTTAATTAATAAGGAATTTAAGTTATGAGGATTTGTGTCACCTTGACATCTTCAGCGAATTCCCTCTCAGCCGACGGGCCAGCCACTCACCTTGAGGATCAACATCTTTAGCGAGCTTCAGCGCATCTGAGTTTGCCAGGTCGGTGTTAGCTGGGGTCACGGCCAAAATCAGGCAGTTCTCCCGCGAGATGAACTGCATGATCATTTCTCGGATCTGATGCTCGATATCTGCGGGCTGATCCCCGACGGGCACTTTAGTAATTCCAGGTAGGTCGATCAGGGTCAGGTTCAACACTGTGGAAAAGAAAAGAAGTCGTTTACGTGCAGCCCGAGTGCTAAAAGAGATGGACAACGCAGAACCATCTGATGCGCGAGTGGAAATAAAACAAGCTCGGCTTTACGTTACTGTGCGTCGGAATAACCCCAACTCGTGTACGTAGCATGAAAAGCACAGACAACAAAATGGCTTTGCGAGTTTTCTCTGTTTTTAAGATATGCTGTGCTCTGCCAAGCGATCATTTTAACAGAATTTGAAAGGCACTGACTTGCACACCTAAAAGTCTCCTCAGAGAGCTGTCACATCCAGAACAAGGGGGTGATAACCAAAACACTGAGCAACACGTGCGTACACTGCCTGCCAGTCTTGCGCAGTGCGCTGCCTTCAAACGGTATAAAAGTTCTCAGGGTGGGATTTGTCCTTCCTTTCAAGAGCATCCTGTGGTATTCACAGAGGGTTAGCCCCTTAGCCTATAGGAAGCTTGTGAGCCATCCAGTGAGGTTACTGTCCGGGCCACACAGCCAGACTCAGGGAGCACCACTCAGGAGAGCAGGAAACTACCCTGACTGGTGGCTCCAGCCACGACCTGGATTTTGTCTTCCCTGCACACAACAGTGGTGACACCAAGGCTTCCTGGGACATCATACCTGAGCTTGTGTCTGTCACTCATGCTCCATTTCAAAAGCAACAGGGCTGGATAGAAGATTACAGATTAAAATCTGCCTCACTAAAAATTTAGTTAGAATAGAGGCTATTCCATATCACACGCCACGAACTGGTCATCTAAGCTATACGTTGCTGCCTGATAGTCTGGAAAACAAATCACAGTTGATTCCTCAGGACAAGAGTGAACAGGGCCAGAAAATCCAATAGGAAAAGACTCAGCCCTAGTCCCGTGCACCTCTAAGATTTTGGCAGAAACTGAAGATAGTAAAAAAAAAAAAAAAGGAGGTTTTCATGCATACCTCTTTGGAATACTAGAAGTTTAAAAGAAACATTAAAAAAAACTGTTTAATGACTTATCCAATTCTCGTCTTTTAAAACATCACCTCCGTCTGCCTCCCCATAAATACATGAGCTCTTTGGGCCAGACCATTTATGGCAGTTTCCATAGAAACCTGGTACTTTTTGAGAGAACAAACCATCTTCCACACAAATAATGCATATTAATTATGAGGTAAAAATTTTTGAGGACAAGAATTTGGAATTTTGCTATTTCACTTACCATGCGGGGAATAGACTCGTAAATTAATGGGTAAGGAGGAAATGCCTTTATTCATCCCGGTCACTCGATCTGTTTCTGCTTCAATCTCATAGCGAACTTCCTCAAAATCCGTGAATTTCTTTCCTTTGCAATGTAGAAATTCAGCATATTCTACAAAAGACAAATTAAGACAGCCTAAAATTCACATACTTTTGCTATAATTACAAGGGGAAAAAAACATTTCTTTAATTACAAAGTCATACTATCCAATCTTCTCTTAAACTAACCAAAGGAACAAAGATAGCAGTTACTGAGAAGTACAGCTAATACTTTAGAAATAGTAAACATAGTACAAATGCTAATAATGCGAAGTTTGCTAATTTTCAGACAAGCAATGAAGTACTACAAGCAGTAATTAAATCATCTAGAGTAGACTATTAAGTAATTTAAAGAGAATTTTGGTAAAAATGATAAACCATACAACAGCATCTGATTGTCAAAGAAATTAGATATAGGGCACACACAAAGTCTATCTACTAATCCTATTAGCATGCCCTTGTTCAATAGCACCATTTTATTATGATGAAGTGCTAAGTCATATCAATACAGCTTCAGAAGGCAAGAAGATTGAGAAACAAAGTTGGCTTAATTCTTTAAAAACAAATACTTGTATGAACTATCTTAGTTTTACCATATACTGTTCAAAATATCACAGTGACTGCTGAAATTAAAAAGATATTGTCTTAAGAAAAAAAGTATTACATCAAAGAAAAGTTTTACCTGCAAAAACACACACACACACACACACATATAATATATATCGGTATCTGTAGGCAGAAGGAAAAAGTCTAAAATAACTATATAACTATAGAAGCAGCAAATTCATTATTAAATTTCAGTAGCACCCTATCACCTGTTGTACCTATCAATTTCTATACCTTCGTCCAGAGATGTCAGGTGCATGATAAACAACACAACTCCAAAAGGAAGCTGATACCACTGGGCCTAAAGAATTTATTATAATTTTATCAAGGGAACCAGACTTCACAAAGGTTTCAGTTTCTCTAATAACCAGCCGAAGAATTGCACGCCCTGGAAAAGGGCGCGCTGAGACTCTGGGAGCGCATTCATCAAGGGCGGGAGTGTTCACAACAGCACAGTTTCCACAGCTTCAGAAGTCTGGTCTCAAGAGATGACTGCTCCTGTCATCTGGCCCGATCCTTCTTTCCCACGTTTACCCTCACAGTGCTGTTTTAGTAGACTGTAAATTCTCAGGAGAGAGAGCCTGTGTTCACCCACCCAATGGGCAGGTCAGGGCCATGTGAACATAAGAGCTCAAAGATAAGTTAGAGGATAAAATAGGAAGAAAAATAAAGAGGAACAAAAGATGTCAAATCACAGAAAAAAGTTATTATAAGTAACAACGAGTCATCAATCGTTTCGAGGAAATGGAATTGTACCTTTTGACTCGGTATGTTCTGTGAAAATGCATACTTGAGGACTTAGGCCTATATCATAATTATTACTTTCACAGACTTAATAAGCGTCTGGATCAGGGATTCCATTTCAATCAATAATTCGAGGAACACAACTGTGCCCATCTCTTGCCGCCACTAGATGGCGCCTAGTTGCTTTCTCCGTTGGAAACACACCCTTCAACAAGGTTGTAAAATCAATGTCGTTTTCCAGTGAGATTTCATTTCATTCCTGGACCCCAGAAAATGCTTTTATCTTGGAATCGAGAGTGCAACATTGCGCAGAACCATCTCAAACCTTTGTGTCTTTTCAAGGATAGGGAGGGTCCTTAGGAATACAGACAGATGTAGGGATGTCTGTGTTCATATATTTATTCAACTAATATTTACTGAGCTCCTAGTTGCCAGGCAGCTTTAGAAATTGGGGCTGCAGCAGAGGGGGGGGGGAATAAGTCTCTAGCCTCATGAAGCTTAAATTCTAGTGTGAAGAGACAGTAAACAATGCGTGGATGCCAGGCGACAGGTGCTATGGAGGAAAATGCAGTGAAGAGGATATTAAATGCTGGGGGTGGGGGGTACTCGGTTACAGAGTTTGGTTGAGACGGGCTTCTCTGATACTCTAAAGTGACATTCGAGCCAAAACTCAGGAAGGGCGGGAGCACGGATGCTTTATGTAAGAGCACCCGGCAGAGTGCCTGAAGCAGACGTGAGCTTGGCGAGCTGGGCGGAGTGGAGCCAGCGTGCCAGGAGCACAGAGCACCCCAAAGGGGGAGGGGGGACGTGAGGTTCCACCTGTGCTACAGGCCTCGGTCGTGTGGGGGCTGCGGGCCACATCAGGGACTTTGATTTTTAACTCTGAGTAAATGGTAGGCCAGTTGGAGGATGGAGTAGAGGGGAACCATGATGTGACCTAGGGTTACAATAAATAACCGTGGTTGCTGTATTGGGAACAGCAGCAAGAGAGGACGCTGGCTATTGGGATAACAGAGGTGAGAGATGATGGGGCCTGGACCAGGGTGGCAGCAGTGGGGGTGGTGAGATGTGGTTAAATTCGAATGTGTTTTGGAAAAAAAGCCAACAGGATTTGCTGATGGATGAAAGGCGGGGATGGGAGAAAGAGAGAAATCAGGATAACTTCAAGGAGCCTGACCTCAGCAAGGAGAAGGATTTGAAAACAGGAAAGACTGGAAGGAAGGGGTTGGAGGGATGGGGGTTGAGATGCGGGACTTGGGCTTGGGACCCATTCAGCTTGTCACGCCTACAACACCCCCACCAAGTGGACCCACAGAACGGCTGCTAACGGCTGAGGTCACACAGCTGTACCAGACGCCATTCACGTGTGTAGTCATCTGACAGGTGTGTGTTTATTCTGAAATTTTTCCAGAAGATGGCAGTCAAGCGCTTGAGGAAAAGGGCAGCTTTTTCTAATTAGCACAAAAATGCCTTCGGGGCTGGATATGTGAGAGTCTTTCATCTAGGGAGCAGTCTAAGCTAGAGACATATATTTGGAACTCATTAAAGGCAGGCAGGCGGATGAGGTCACTGAGTGAGAGAGTGAGGCGGGGACGAGGTCGCAGCACTAGGGCCTGGGTTTCCTCATGTTCAGAGGCGAGGCGCCTCGCTGGAAGTTGAGCAGGTCAACAAGACAGGAGAAAAACCAAGGGAGCGGGGCGGCCCAAAGCCAGCAGGGCGCTACTCCCTCCGATACTGCCAACATGGCAGGTAAGATGGAACTGAGAATGGAGCGCAGCATTAGGCAACTCGAGGGTCCTCCGGGAGTTGCCAAGAGCGGTTACAGTGGAGTGGGGTGGATGACAGCCTGCATGGAATAGATTTAAGGGCGAATGGGAGAAGAGGACGTGGAGGCTCATTACAGACAATTCTTTCAAGGAGTTTCCTTGGAAAGGAGAGGAAAGAAGTGAGAAGGCAGCTGGAGACGGACGTGAAGTCATCAGAGGGTTTCCTGAAGATGGGCAAACTAACAGCAGCATGTTCATAGGCTGGTGGTATGAATCCAGTATTAAGGGAAAGGTGATGCAGAAATGAGAAGGGGCGCGTGCGAAGCGATGTCTTAAGGAAGACAGGATAGGAGGCATTAGAAAGGAATGTGCCAGTTAATGCAGAGAACAGGAAGGAAACAAGACAGTGAGTACTGATGAGACAACGGATAGAACAGATGTTAGCGGGAGCATGTGAAATTCATCAGGTGAAAGTAGGGATGTATCACAGTTATCTAAAGTCATTTTATGTTTAAAAAAAACATTTCTGTATCTATTCTCACTGGTTAAACCCTATAAATACTATTATTCCTACCACAAAACTCTCTCTCTCTTCTCTCTCTCTCTCTTCTCTCTCTCTCTCTCTCTCTCTCTCTCTCTCTCTCTCTCTCTCTCTCTCATAGAGTGATCCTACATGAATGACCTAAGAGTAACGGTAGTGGGATGTCAAGTTGGGTCTATTCTACGTCCATCACCAGGACTCAAACCTGCCCAGCATATCAGAGCTAATTGGGGTTTATAATAACAAACAGGTTTTTGGCCTTCCTCCCAGTTTCTGGCACAGAGCTCCTAAAATCCTTGGAATTTCCTAAGTGATGAGAGAGATAATGGTCTTTTGTTACACGAATAAGGTAACTTTTGGAAAGCACCTAAGGTTGAGGGCTGGTTGCCAGGAAAACCAACCTGGTGATTAGGGGAACTTTCAGTCCCCTCCCACCACCACCCCATCTCCAGGGAGGGGAAAGGGGGTAGGGATTGCGTTCAACCGCCAATGGCCAATGACTTAACCAACCATGCCTCACAATGAAGCCTCCATAAAAACTCCAAAGGACGGAGTTTGGAGAGTTTCCGGGTTGGTGAAGACACGGAGATTTAGGGAGACTGGCATGCGAAGGGAAGACATGGAAGCTTTGTGCATAACCTTGCCCTGTGCATCTCTTTCATCTGGCTGTTCCTGCGTTGTATCCTTTTATAATACATTGATGTCTCTCTGAGTTCTGTGAACTACTTTAGCAAATGAATGGAACCTAAGGAGGAAGTCATGGGGGCCTCTGATTTATAGCGAGTTGGTCAGAAGTACAGGTGACAAACTGGACTTGCAATTGGCATCCTGAGTTGGAAGGGGGTCAGCTGAAACCTCCAATTTGCAGCCAGTCAGTCCGTGACTGGTGGCTGAGGTCGTGGGCAGGGAGGAAGCAGGGCAGTCTTGTAGGACTGAGCCCTCAGCCTGTGGAATCTTACGCTGCCTATGAATAAATCATGTCAGAATTGAGTTGCATTGCGGGACGCCCAGTTTGTGTCTAAGAATTGCTTGTTGGTGAGGGGAACACCCCAGCCCCCCACCGCAGTGAAATTGGTAGAACATACAAAATCCCTTTTCTATGGATCCCAAAGAGCCTCCTGGGAAATCATTCATCCTTCAGAACAGGCTGAACTAGATCATCAATAGCTAGACTTTTAAAGAGCTAATAAAGGTGTGTCTTCTGAGACTTCCATATGATGGCAAACTAGCATGTCTGAAGGTCTAACAACTCTCACCTATGGCTCTAAGATATGTGTGTTCTTTCTCATAGAAAGGTAGTTCCCAGTGGCAGAAGGTTTCTTGGCATGCTCTCAGTGTTCCTTTCTTTCTATTGTAAATGCTTGGAAGTTGGGCGCATGAAATGATCTCTTTCTCATACAATTCCAGGCTTCCGCC